TATATATATATATATATAATCTCCTTTCCTGCAAAAAAACGAACTAACTTGGAAACCAAACTTCACCTTTCCAGATGCCACATCTGCTGACAGCATCACATGGTGGTGTCACACATAGGTCAAATCACTGCTGCCAAAATATGTTGTTTGTTGTTTTTATTTGTTAATGGACATAGAATATTTGACAAAAAGTGTCAGAAAAAAATGTGTTTTTAACCGTCATCAAACAACATGCAGGTTATTCTGTAGTGCTATTTGTTTTTTTTTTGTTTTTTTAAACGGACAACAATTTTCTAGACAAACACTAACCAGCACAGAGGAGAACACGATCACTATTCATCATATTTGACATCCATCTCCATTCAATCTCTTACAAACATTGCTATGATCATCAAATGGGTGACACATTTTCATCTACTTAAGTTTGGCTCTCATGTGTAGGTCACCCCCTGTTTTCTGACCACTCTGACAAAGCTCGTCAGCAGTTTGCGAGCACACTGATAGTCGCCATGGCAATGCGGACACGACCTTGCTCGGGGTGCGCACCTAAAGGTCATTAATCACGACTCCAGGGATATGTAACCATTGACAGCTCTCGGATTTCCCAGCGGCAAGACAAATACAGGCTAATGAGGAAAAGGTGGAGCATTAGGGTGTGTATGACGTGGCGAATACCAGCGTCAAATTCACGTTGACGCAAGGTCAGTCGAAAACAATCGCGAAAGGAGGTTCAGGAGTCTGGGGGAAACTCCGGGGGAAAACGTGGCTCCTTAAATGCACCAACTGAGAGGGGACGCGATAACAAACAGCAGCAATGACAATCAACAAAGGTATCCTGCGGTCAAGTGTAGACTGTGGAATGTAATACTGTAAAAATTGTGTCATTTAATGCACCAGTTGTAAGGAAATGTACTAACAACATACAAAAAAAGCAGATAACAAAAAGGAAAACACTTGTATTTCAGAGTAGACTGAGAGCAAAGCTCCTGCAAAATGGAGACTGTGGCACATAATACGATATTGACAAAAAGCATCTCAACAGTTGAAAGGATGCTCACGAACAAAGAAACAGCAGAGGACATTAAGGGTCTCCTGTTTTTACTTTAAGAAAGACCGATGTTGTTCAAAATGAGACTTAGGGGCAGCCCTGCGTCTTAGTGGAGATTGTGGAGCATATAATACTGCAGTCATAAAACACATGGAACGTGCCAGTGAGGAGATGCGCTTTCAAAGATGGACGGACGATAGATAGATGGATGGATGGATGGATGGATGGATGGATGGATGGATAGATAGATAGATAGATAGATAGATAGATAGATAGATAGATAGATAGATAGATAGATAGATAGCCTAAGAACACAAGACTAAAATGTATGTAAGTAATAAATATGGGTAATTATTCCTCAGTAATATATGTAGGATTTATGCAAAGTGGGAAGTATAATAATATTGATGGGGGAAATACATATGTATAGTACAGAACGTTACTATGAATTAAAATGCATCCGATATGTGGATGACAATATGGTGAAGAAGTAGGCGGCTGTTGTCCATACAAAGCTTTTGGGGGGCACCTTGCTCGTCGCGGGGGCGAGCACCTCAACCACTCGCCGAGTGTGTGTACGTGCGCGGGCAAGAGAACATGGCGTGCGCGCGCGCGTGAGCGAGCGTGCGCGCGCGCGCGCCCGTCTGCTCTGCTGTTGCTGCCCTTTGATCCCCCGCATTAGTGTTAGTTAGGGGGGCTCCGAGGCGCACAGCAGTCAAGACAGCCGAGCGAGCAAAGGCAAAAGCGGCCCAGGCGGCGCCCCCTCCTCCGCGGCCCGGGCTCCCCTATTTCCCCTCTCTCTATTTCTCGTCCCCCTCCTCGACCGACGGTCCCACTCTGAACCGAGCGAAGCCAGCCAGGTGCCTGACCGAGCCGAGGAGTAGCGGCTGCTCGCCTGCCTTCCTGCCGTCCGTCCCCTCCGGTCTCCTTCAAATGGGAGCGAGGCTCTTTTCTTCCGTCTCCCCGGGCCAGGACGAGAATGTGATTTAAAAACAAGCGTTTTGGGGGGGAAAATGCCAAGGAGGAAGCAGGAGCAACCCAAGCGCTTGCCTTCACGTAAGTCTCGCGGCTTGTGTGCGCCATTCTCTGTGGGGTTAAAGAGGTGAAAGAGACAAAAGAGGCTAGGTTATATTCCTCCCCGGGTTCTTCTTTTTTTTTTTTTGCGGGTCCGAGCGAGGCAGCCATGTTGTTGGCGACGCTTTAGCCAGCCCCCAAGAGCAGCGGGAGGAACCGTAAGCGAGCGAGACGTTCAAAATCGATTTTTCTCTACCCCCCCCCCCTCCGAAAAAAGAACCCCAAGGCTCGCTAAAGGTTGTTGGTTGTATGTGTGCGGGGGCAGAGGAGGAGGAGGAGGAAGAAGACGACGGTGATGGTGGTAGCTGCGGGGGAAAAAGAGAACGCCACCGCGGTGTTTTCGCCAACATGTCCGCCTGGTTAGGTGGCTTCTCCGGGGGGGTGGAGGGGCCGAGAACCCGGGGAGTGTGGCCGCAATAAAACGAAGGGTCAGCCGGATCAGACGAGCCGGAGTCTGCGCTGCTTGCTCCCCGCACCGAAGCTCGGCTAGCTTTAGCTAGCACCTCAACTTCATTGCTTAAAAAAAAAACAAAGTATGGAAAGATTTTTTTCCACCATTTTCTAGCTACTCCCCTGTCAAGAGTGGCCATGGTCGGTCACCTGAAGTTCATGGCCCCCCCCCCTTCTTCTCTTCTTCCTTTTCTTCTTCCCTTTTGCAGCCATTCATTGCAGACAGACTTGGATCAATAACGCCGTTTGACGAGGGGGGAGCGACACAAATGCCAATGTCGTGCCGCAGTAGCCCCCTTTTTAATAATAACAACACGAACCCCCTCTCTCCCTCCTTCCTTTAGCGAGCTTCCTACTTTGTCTCTTTGAATTTGACCCACCATCATATGTTTGGATCCCCATATCGGCACAGGCAGAGAATGAGTGGAGGGGGAAGAGGGCTGCAGTTGCACTCTCGGGTCGCTGTGGGTTCACGGCGAAGGAATGACTGGAGTCTTTTTCAGTTGCTTGTATTGTTGTGATACCATACAATGTATTTTTGCGGCACCATCTGGGGTTCAAAAATGTCAGCATTGTGAGGTGTACCACTGGTTTGTTTTGGGTTCCGCCTGACTTTTGGATGAGGGATGCGGAAGGACACATGCACAAGCACTTGTCAGCCGGGGTTTGAACCCGGAACCCGGAAGCTAACGGTATCTGCCATCAAACCCTCGTTAAGTAGACACAGAAAGTTTGAAATAACATGTTGGTGATACAAATGCAAAAGCTGGGCAGCACAGTGATCTAGTGGTTAGTATGTCTGCCTCACAGTTCTGAGATTTGTCGTTCCATTCTCGAAGTTGCGTTAACATTAAATTAATGAGGAATGTATTGTTATTCCTGTGTAAATCTTCTACAGCAAAGTCTTACGGAATATTAGTCTGGATGCTGCAGGCTGGACAAGAGTTGCAGATAAACGGGTCCGTAATTGTTGTACAAAATCTTTACTGCGTATCCTTACTTTTGGCATTGGCTGGCAAAAAAACTTGAGTACTGTGATCAATTGGTTTCGAAGACGAGGTGATGATGCGTCTATCTTGGCTGTTGTTTTAGCAATCAAGTTCATGTGCAAAATTGCATCACCCTCCTATTCAGCCAACCCACCGGTTATTTTCTCTTTTGACACTTATGAAATGACCTGCTAATGTACTCTCCATTGTTGGTGACGCTCTGCTGTGACACAGTTACAGCCATAGTATTGTGAAAAGTGGACTGTAGAATCTTAAGGCAGGGATGGGCAATTTAAATACTGGAAGGAGACGACAATTTTTCATCATCATCTACTTGGGGCCTGTGTAGGACCCCGCTAAATATATGCACTTCATATATTTATGTTTTTGACAGTACATTAAAGAGTAGCCCAAAACTGCTGAACACGAAATTAACTTTCAGTGCAACAACTCATTTTGGACATTTTTTCTTGTCACCAAAATCACCTCATTCAAAATTTCCACACGCATATTCGAGGTACTCTCTTTGTCCTGGTGTTTTGCGCCATCATTATGAGATAGCTTAGCGGTTAGCATGACTTTGTCGTTAATTACGCCTTGTCCCCCTTTAGTGATCACAATACTTGTCACAAGTGTTTGTTTCTCTTTCCCTTTCTTCTTCTTCCTCCTCCCTGCCTTGCAACTTCCACGATGCGCCCCGTCCCCCTTTGATGTGGACTCACCAGTTCACAACGCTGCCTCCCGAGGCAGCGACCCTTAGCCCGAATTAGCAGTCCCTTCGTTGGCTATTCTTTATTATTTTTTTTTCCTCACAACTCACCGCATCACCCCTACTCTCTCGCCGCGGTGCCCTTGCAACGTGCACACACTCGCGGCAGTCACTGGCACTGCAATGTGAAATGACAGCGTATTGCCGCTCACGACTGTATCAAGCCACGGCTCGTAACGAAGCCGGTGTTGCACAAAGCAAGTATTCCCCACAATAGTTCTCCGACAGCTGGGATGGCAGGGAGGACGGACGGACGTGGACACAGCGGTCGTTTAATCAGCTCGGAGCTGGCTAAAGAAACTAGAGCGCTTTCGGCATTTTTTTCATCCTGAGACAGATCAGACGTCGCCATCAATAAGTGTGATCATGATTGATCAATGTTGTGTTTATGCCGAGTATACTGTTTACGTACACTTTGCTCCCCTCGGATATTATGACACTGTTTTATGTATCTTTTGACACGATGTAGGTTTCAAGTGAAAAAGAATAAAACTGATCTGTTCCTGTGCCGAGCTGTCATTGTTGTCCCCGTCCCCTCCCACTTTATGTTTTTATAGTGCTTGTCTTCCATGAGGATGACGGGTGAGTCGGAGTGTGTACAGGACTGACTTTTAAAACAAGCCATCACCTGTCAGGGTCCTACATTAAGGCAGGGCCACCACAACTTGGCTCACGTATATTCAGGACATACAGTTTAATGTCTTAAGTATCAATGCAATTTCATATTTAGCATCCTAATACTAATATTATTTAAGCCTTGAAGAAATTATTAGTTATGTTTAGTTAATTTGTTTTTATGTGCAGCATAAAATCTGAATATTTAACATTTGATTTTTTTTTTGTCTCATATCTTGCTCAGGTCATTCCTAGAGGAAGGACTGACATGCAAAAAAAAAAAAAATGTTTGCACCCCCAGTAAAAAGTTCCACGTTCATTGATCAATTTAAGTAGATGAAACTCAAAATACATCCTAATAAATATTTAAAAAGCATGATTTTATTGTATTTATATAAGGAAAAGAAAAAAAAGTACTGGCCCAATTGGGCCAGCTTCAATGAACTTCAGGTGGCCCGCCACAGCCATGTCGTGGCCCCGGAGCATCGGGCTACCGTTAATGTCGAACCCTACCTGTTTTTGTATGACAAAAACATCCAAGACATGGAGTTTGTACTCGGATGCTGGCAAGCTAACATCAATTTACTGCAGAGTTGTCAAATCCGGGTCCAGAGAGTAAAAACCCTGCCACTGTTTGGCTTTAGCCGCAGGTGCTTTCACTCAAGAGCTTGTTTACCTGCTTGTTGAGTTGAAGTACCTGCGACTAAAGCTAAACTGTGGCAAGCATTTTTACTTTCTCGACCTGGATTTGAAGCCCAGGACTTCATTTTAGGTCTGCATGAAGCTGACTCTTGGGCGAGAGAAGGGGTGAACACCAAAATGGCATGTGTGCCATCACTTGTACCCTGCTCTGGTGCCATCATAGCATAAGAGCCAAAGACAAAAAAATTTCCTGTGTGGGGAAAAAAAAAATTATAATGGATGAGTTGCATCACAAAGGTCATCTGACGTAAAAAAAACTTTGCCTCATAGATCAGATTTGCTTGTTAGGACTCATCAGTGCTGTGAAGGACTTTAGTTTGGATCTTCTCTGACTGGTGAATTTGAGTCCATCTGTTTGCACGCGAAGGATAACTGAGTAAAACTATATTGTGAGTCCTGGTATGTTAATTTCTCACGCTAACTGACGAGCTGCTGTATTCTCGTCACCTGTGATCGCAGGAGAGTGAGCTTAATGCGTTTGGAAATTGAACCCGTAAAAGGCTGTTTTTGCACATGAATGGTGTACAATACGGGAGCAAGAAGCTGTGTTGTCATTTCACACGTGCAGCAGACGACGATAGGTTGTCCTTGTCAGACTTGTCATCACCTTCTATGGGTGAGGGGCTACTTGCGTAGCATGTGCAGGATGAGCGGGGAAAATTGCTGTCATACCAATTGTTGACCAGGATTACGTCTGCCAAACGTGCTATATCCAAGCACGGTTAATTTTGCGCGTCGTGGGAGGAGTGAATGCAAATTGATTGTTGAGCTGACGCAATTTGAGTGATCAAAGCGAAGGTCAATTGTGCAGACTGACTTTGCATCTTGAAATATGTCATCTGAACGATTGGTGCAAACCGGCACAGAAAATTGATCAGCTTGTCTAAAGAGTTTTGAAACGACAACAAAAACGATTGTGACTGATTGTCAACTGCGCAGTTTAATTTTAGAGCTTCGCACTGATCGACAGTGAAAGATGAATTCTTCACCAGTCACAAGAAGGAGTCATGCCCTCTCAGCTGTAACAAAAGCTCCTTTAACGTTCCTTGCTGGCTTCCCCAAAATTATCGTCACCATCCGTTTATTTAGTCAAACTCACTCATGCGATCGCTTGTGTTGCACTAACCCTTCGAGTTCCATCACTCCAAACATATTTTGTGCTTGCGGTGCTTTCCCAAATTTTCCACAGTGAAAACCATTGACACTGAAGTGCAAAACCCACTTTTGAAATTCAGGTTTTTGAGTCCACTTGTCTCAGCCTCACCATTGTGAACCAAAGATTCAGTTCCAGTTCTTGGTACTAGCTTGTTCTTTGTTTCTGGAGCTAAAAGACCAGACCCTGTCTCAAAAGCACCAACCCACTGTTAGTTTTCTTTTGTCCCCATTTATGTCCCCTGAAGGAAATTGACACAATTCCTGCATTTTCCCCATCTGTCTGGGCACTGAGTAAAAACGTA